ATACACACATACCTGCGCATTTATATATACATACACACACACATAAGTGAGATTTAATTTACGACAGTGACAAGCCCATCGTGGGGCACGTTCCCCAACATTCTTCCAGGCAGAGCAGCCTACGAGGGGAAAGCAGAAACTGACGCAGGGCGTGAGGGTGGGGCAGGCAGCACAGATCCTTAGAAGGAGGGGTGCCAGCTGGTCTAGGAATTTTTGTCCTTCCTACCTCATCCTTCCCTTTTATCCCGCCTGGCACACGGACATGGTGATGCTGGAGATGGACGACGTCTCCTAAGGATGGCAGAGGCTGGGTCTGGGATGGCCAGCCCTGCACTGCGTATCTCCAAATGTGTCTACTGAGGGACTGAACTCTTCTCTGTCTGAGTGACCGTGGTCAGTCACTACTGTTAACAGCTAAATATATTTCCTAACTCATAACCTATTTGATTAGGATTGTAAGCAATATCTGACTTGGGTTTCTGTTGTCACTGCAATAAATTTCCCACAATGAAGCAAAATTCTTAAAAACAAAATGAAACCATAAATATAGACTCCTGGAGTTCTAACCCATTCCTTTAGTTCTCGGTCCCTCTATAGAGACAATGAGATAATCCCATCAAGGCAGAGGTGAGGGAAGCAGATAATACGGAATCTTGGTGATTTCACTGCATGCCTTTAACATCCCCTACAGCGAGGTGCGGGGATGTCCCAGCGAGGGTCACTCACAGACGATGTTGTGCCTTGCAGTTCGGACTTGGTACAGGTCCACATCCGACCGGGGGTAGCCCTCGCGGTCCACCAGCGGCTCGTTCATCCCCACGCCTTTTTGCTGGAGGGAAGAAATGAGGTTAAAAAGATTTCACAGGTATCAAGTCCTCAAGACCTCTTTTCCCTCGGACTCTTTTCCTTTGCGGTCATAACAGAGGTGACAGTAACAACACCTGCCATATGTTGATCACTTAGCACAGACCAGGTCCTCTCCCTCATCCTCTCACGACTGCTCTCTGAAGGGGGCACTATTTTTTTTACCTGACTGTTAATAACAAGAAATGCATAAATCAGTTCTCCTTTTCTGAAGCTGGAGCAGTGCAGATAAAACTAAAGACTCCTTTGAGCATCACTCCCAAGGTCAGCCTCTTCCCAACTCCTCCAAATCCTCCTTCCCACTGGCAGCTGACACCTGGCTGGTGGCCTTGGAAGTGGGAGGAGGGTGAAAGCCCCAAAGAGCACCCAGCTGAGGCAGGACTTTGGTTGTCCTGAAAATCAAAAGAGATCTAAAGGCGACTTCAGAGAGGCTTTTCATCCCTGGAAGATAAACCATATCACCAGCTGCCACCTGGGGAGAGGAACTGGGGGATGCAGGAGGGAAAGAGACTCCACTTTATGTCCTCTTGCAGACTTTGAATTTTGACCATGAGAACAAATTCTCTATTCCAAATAACACATTGATTTTAACATGTTAAAGACTTTTCCAACATAAGTCAGAGCGTGGTGCACAGAAGCAATGAAACATGTCACACGACATGTTGCAGGGACTGTGCATTCAGTCAGGCTTTGATTTCAACCTCAATTCTGCCACGTACAACCTGGGTGCTCCTGGTCAAGACCTTCACCTCTTTAGGCCTCAGCTTCCTCAATTATAAAATGGGAATAATGGCATTCACCTCCCTTCCCACCTGTTCTGAGAATTTATGAGTTGACCTGTGTAGGGTGCTTAGCACAGTGCCAGACACATTCACAGTGAGGTGAACAGTGGTCCCCAAAAGATATGCCCAGGTCCTAACCCCCAGAACTTGTGAATGTGATCTTATTTGGAAAAAGGGTTTTTGCAGATATAATTAAGTTATGGATCTCAAGGATTTAGGGTGGGCCCTAAACCCAATGATGGGTATCCTCATAAGAGAAAGGAGAGGGAAGTTTGAGACACAGAGATGCAGAGAGGAGGCTGTGGGAAGGCAGAGGAAGGGTTGGAGTGATGCAGTTACAACCCAAGGATGGCCGGCAGCCACCAGAATCTAGGACAGAGGCACAGAATGGATTCCCCCTCAAAGCCTCGGAGGAACCAAAACTGCCAACACCTTGATCTCAGACTTCTGGCCTCCGTAACTGTGAGAGAGCAAGTTTCTGTTGTTCTAAGCCACCAAGCTGTGGTGATTCATTATGGAGGCAATTAATATACACAGAAAGTAAGAAATAATGGCTGTAATTATTAGCACAGAGACCAGCTGCCTTGTGTACATAGGTACTAGAAGGAAGGATTCCATTCACTTCTCTCCCTTTCTCTCTGAAAGCCTCTGAGTTACACCTACTGTTTCCTGTTTGGGGAAGGGGGTCCCATATACTCCTAAGGGAGTATACTCCTACATTAAGACACAGGACTCTCAACAGATACAGTACAAATGTGTCAGGGGCTAAGTGCCCATATCTGCCTCCTGACTTCCCACAGGGACTAAGAGTTGATTGGCCCTCTCCAGTCAATACCCATCAGACACTGCTTTCCAAAGTTGGGACCCACACCACAGGCAGCTTACACGCAGGGCATTAAGCACCCCTGAGTCTGGAAAACTTATTCCCTTTCTAATTATCTTCAACCTTTCAATAATCAACAAGAAAGTCTCCATTTGGTACTTGTCTTTATATCACCTCCAGATCACTTATTACCTCTGGGTCTCCCTATTTTTGTTTTTAATGCCTTTAGTGAGATATAATTCACATACCATACAATCCACCCATTTAAAGTGCACAAGTCAGTGGTTTTTAGAATATTCACAGTTATGAAACCATCACCACAATCAATTTAAAAACATTTCCATCATCCTCTAAAAAGAAACCCCAGACCCATTAGCAGTCACTCCCAGTCCCCCCTCTCCCCAGCCCCTGGCAACCACTAACCTACCTTCTGTCTATGGATTTGCCTATTCTGGATATTTCATATAAATGGAATCATAAAATGTGTGGTCTTCTGTGATGAATTTTTTTCACTTAGCATCATGTTTTCAAGATTCATGCACACTGTAGCATGTCAGTACGTCACTCCTTTTTATTGAATACTATCCCATTGTATGGATAGACCATATTTTATTAATCCAGTCACCAGTTGGCATATTTGGATGGATCACATTGATATACACTTTTACCTTATATTTAAGGAAAGAGATACTCATTTTTTCATACATTGCAGAGTTATAAAAGTCCCTTTTAAAATAAAATTATCTAAGTAAAAAAGTGAGTCAACTTAAAGAAAACTATCAAGGGAATAACAGTACAGGAGGTGTACAGATAGAGCATTCTGCCCACAGCAGAAAAATAACTAGTTTGAGGAACTGCTGGCCTAACACTTGAAAGCACGGATTCTGGATTTGACCGGCATGAGATCTGAATCCCACTTTGTGACTTTGAGCAAGTGACTTCCCCTTTCTGAACTTCAGGGTAACATACCAACTTCACAGAGTCTTTGAGAGGACTCCCTGATACAACACAGATATAAACCAGCACCCTTCAGGCATATAGTCAGCATCCGGAAAAATGGTACCCTGGCCTCCGTGGGATACTTCATCTTACTCCCATCACCTAAAGTGCATTCCATCCGCCCTGTATAGGATGCAATTCATTTATTCTTCCTCTGCAAATCGATTTGTGGGTTTAAACCAGGTGGCTTAAGAAAAGCTGTATCAGTTTTGAAGCCAGTCAGACTTGGGAACTAGCCCCACCACTGCCACTTCCCAGCAACATGATGCTTGGCAAGGGTTTGCATCTCTCTGGGCCTCAGTTTCCTCCTTTTATGATAAGAATAATGATGAGCCTTTCGCGTCACTCAGAGCTGCGTCCTTAGACCAGTGCCATCAGCATTGCTGGGAATTTGCCAGAAATGCAATATCTGCTCCCGCGCCCCGCCCCCCATCATACTGAATCTCCAGGTGATTTGCATACACATTAAAGTTTAAGAAGCTCTGACGTACAAGGGTTAGTAAAGCACAGGACATATGGTAAGCGTTCATCAAGGACTGATAATGGTGATTATTATGCTGCCTGTTCAAACTTATTAACTCTGTGACCTAAGTCAGCTTTAAGTAATGCCCTGTTTTCCCATCGCTAAAATGGAGGAAATAACAGAACTCACCTCAAAGGCCTGCTGCGAGGGTTAAATGAGCTAATCGATGTAAAACGCTTAACACAGCACCCAGCACCCAGCAAGGGCTCCAAAAACGCTTGCTAGAGTATCAATTATTTCTAGTTACTCACATTATTTGCCTCACTGCCTGCTGCCGACAGAGGCCGCAGTTGCGGCGCCTTGGTCCTCCTGGGGAGGGAGACCCACAGCCGAAAGCTCAAGCGGAGGCTGCCCGGGCCTTCCAGTCCCGCCGGGCCCGAGGACCCGGTCAGGAGGCCTCGGGGCTCCCCCCTACGCCCGCCCCGGAGCCCCGTGCCCACACTCACGCTCTCCAGCACGTCATAATTGGCTTTGATCTGCGCCTCGATCTCCTCCTTGCGCCGTATCAGCTCCTGGATGTCGCTGACAGTCACCCCACTGGCTTCCGGGGAGCTTTCGCTCTGCCTAGTTTCTTCCTCTGACATCGTGGACCTCGGCCCGGGATCCTGGACAGCCGGGTCCCCGGCTGCGGACGCCCGAGGAAACTGTGGCTACGGCTCCGCCAGCGGGCCAAAACATCCCGGCTATTCGCGGGCGCGAGGAAAAGCGAGGGGCGTGGTTTGTTGGGGCGTGGTCACCGGAAGCCCCACCCTGCTGGAACACGTGGTCCTGTGGTGACTCGGCAAAGGGCAGTATGAGGACGAACGGATTCATAGTCCCCACCTTAGCGCTGACTCCAACCGAGGCAAGATGAACTCTCCCTGGCTGACTCATTTTCTTTCCTCGTTCGTTCGCAACTATTTATTGAGCGCCTACTCTATGTATGTCTGAGAGCACTGTGCATGGTGCTCCAATTCAGCTCTTTTCAAAGCCCTTGAGGGTTTACAGTACATATCCAGATTCCTTAATGCCCCATTTTACAAAGCCTACAAGCTTCGTTCAAATCCAGGCTCTTGCCCCTACTGCAAGTAGTGACTTTAGATAAATTATTTCACTTCTCTGACCCTTAGTTTCCTCATCTATAAGTTGGTTAGATATTGATAGCAAGCTATCTCATAGAGCTGTCATTTACTGACAAATATTGAATGCCTCCTTTGCGCCATACACTGCCCTAAGTGCTGGAGGGGTAAAGAATTGAGTACTGGGCTCAGTGCCTGTCTCATATTAAGGTCTCTATAAATTTTAGTAGAAAGAGTACTGATGAAAATAATAGTAATATGAACAATTTATCAAGTACTTATAATGTGTCACACTGTTCTAAGGGCCCTATGTGTATTAATTCAACAGCCTCATAAAACCAGGATGATTATTACCCTCACTTGACAGCTGAGAAAACCATCTCAATAACCCACTTGCCCAACCAGCAAAGAAAGCAGCCCAAATTTGAAGCCAGCTTAACCAAATGGTGACACTTAAGATCTTAACAGGTGCCCCGGAATATTTTGCACTGAAAAGGCCACACCATCACGTATGTAGTGGTCAAACATGTTTGCCCTGAATCCAATCATGAAAAACAAACAGACAAACCCAAACTGAGGGACATTCTTCAAAACAACTGGCCTGAACTCTTCAAAAAGGTTGTTATTGTGAAACACACACATAGAAACTAGGCAATCACCTAGAGTAAAAAAGACTAAAGAGACACAACAATTAAATGCAATGTGTGATCCTTGAGTGTATCTTGGTTCCCTTCAAAAAAAAAAAAAGCTACAAAGGACATCCTTAGGACAACTGGGGACACTGAATATGAATAACATAGTATCAATTTTAAATTTCCTTATTTTGATACTTGTGGTTATTTAAGACAATGTCCTTACAAATGCACCCTGTAGTATTTAGGAGCAAGAGAAGCAACTTACTTTCAAGTGGTTCAGAAAAAAATCCTTATATATATTTGCAGACAGGAGAACAAAATGGTAAATGTGACAAAGTATAAATACTTGGTGACTCTGGGTGAAACATGCAGGAACATTCTTTTTACTGTCATTGCAACTTTTCTGTAAGTTTGAAATTATTTCAAAATAAAGAGTTGCTAAAAAAATCTTTATACAGAAAAAGAAGAACCAATTAAATTAGGCTTCCTATATTTTGTTCAATTATTTCTTTTAAATAAACTAACATTTCTAACATTGATGCAAAAAAAAAAGAAACGAAAGAGAGACACAATAACTAAATTGCAATACACAATCCTTGATGGAATTTCTTTAATTAAAAGTAGCAGCTTTAAAAGACATTATTGGGACAATTGGTGAAATTTGAATATGGACTTGTATTATAGTTAATCGATGTTAAATTTCCTCAGTAAGATTATGGTATTGTGATTACATAAGAGAGTCTTCTTATTCAAAGGAGATAAATGTTACAATATTTCAAGGTACAGCATCCTGATTTCTGCAACAAATTTGCAAGTGGTTGGGTTAGTGGGGGAAGCAATACATACACAGATACATGTATATATAAAGAGAGACAGAGACCAAGAGAGAAAAAGAGAGAAAGGCAAAATGTACCAATAGGTAACTCTATGTGATGGTACATGGATGTTCATGGAAACTATTTTGCAACTCTTGTGAGGTTTGAAATTTTTCCAAATACAAAGGGTGGGGAGAAGATTCTCACCTATGCAGTGGGAAACCAGAGCTATTGTTAAAGTCACTATATTATGTTGTTATTATAATGAACCTAAACCCTGTCACTTCTACTGCCTTCATAGCTCTCAAAGCCATTCCATCACCCCCACTTCTGCTCTCATGCCACCACCCCAATCTCTTTTCAGAAGGCAGAGGCCTCTGAACTTGTCTCTATTTCCAGTTGACCCTTTCAGCCTCTCCACACAGCAGCCAGAATAACCTACCCAAAGAATAGCATTATCACCCTGCTGCTTAAAAGGTTTCAATGACTTTCCAGCACCTTCTCTCATCCTTCTGATACTTGCTTGCCTTTTGACCCCTGTGCACACGCACACATGCACACACTCCCACACACCCCTTATTTCCAGCCACACTGAATTTCTAGCAGTTTCTGGCACATTTATTGCTTGGTCTCTCTCAGCAACAGGTCTTGGCACCTACTCCTCCCTTCTCTAGGTGACACCACCTCCGGCCAAGCTGATTTCAGCTCCTCCTCCAAGCTCCATCCAGCACAAACATTACCTCTCCTGGGAATCATTCTCTGACCTGCCCCAAAACCGGACTGTTTACTGCACTTTTCATCTGTGTGGTAAATGCACCTGTACGTGTGTGTAACGCACTGGGGACTCAGAGGATGTGGACAGATGCTTATCTTTAGATGTTTGACTGAGTGTTTAAGTGAGGATTCTCAGGTAACAGACAGAAGAGCCTGCTCCTTCCCCATTCTGTTTATGCAGGTTTGTCTTACCTGCAGTGGCCACTGGCAGCCAACATAGGCTTGGTTTTACAAACCTGCCAAGATCTAGAACTTAAATTGTTTGCCTTTTCAAAATATCCATGTCTTTCACTGTCATTTCAGAGCAAGGAGACCAGGAAATATGGAATGGGGAAGTGGAGCCAGGGGGACGAGAGCTCCCCTCAGGACCTGGGTGGGGCATGACCCTACTACCTGCTTTAAGGACTCTGCAAACCTTCCACATTTCCCCGCTGCCCTGACCTTGGAGCCAGGCAAACTGGCAAGCCAATTACTCACAGTACCTGCATCTATAAAGCAAGAGACTGGACTCCAAGGTCTACATTTGTGACCAGTCTGTGTGAGTTGGCTCACTGAGAGTTTTTAAGAATTTTAAATTAGGCGTTGAATCAGTTCAGAGCCCCATCATGAAACAGCTGGCACACTCAGAAGGATAGTTAAGGGACATTTGATAAAAACACTGTTTACAGAGACATGGGCAAGTTTGAGAGAGCAAATAAGGGATGATGAAAACGTCTAGGACTGGCAACCCTGGGGGTGGGGTATCACCCCCAGACCTAAAGGGCCAAGGGGAGAGAGCAGTTTGGGATCCTTAAGGCCCCCCCTTAAGGGGGGCCTTTGGAAGAACACAGCTGCTACTAAAACAACGTCTGGCAGAGAGGGAGCCCCTCTTCTCTCCTCTCATCTGCCAGAGCCTCTGGCAGCCTGAGAGCAAAGGGCTTGGGGCGCAGAGTAGGGCAGGGAGGGAAGAGCCTGGGAGGGGCACACAGAATCTCCAGCACAGAGGCCAATATTCAAACATTTGGTAAGTAAGATGCAGAGACCCACATAGTGTGTGATGTGATTTTTATACAACAAAGTCAATTCCCCCTTATACGTGCCTATAATATGCTTGCATATCTGAGCAGATTAAATAAGTGTGGTCAGTTTGCAAAAATTCAGAAGCTGTATACCATTTGTACTTTTCCATGTGTATTAATCTTTGATAAAAAATACTTTCCCCTAATATTAAAAAATACATACAATAATAAAGAAAATTTTAGAACCAATACACTTTTTTAATTGAGAAGAGAGTCCCATAACCTAAAATTAACCATTTTTAAGTGAGCAATTCACCTAGTGCCTTCACAATGTTGTGCAGCCACCATCTCGATCTAGTTCTAAAACTTTTTCCTCACCCCAAAAGGAAACCCATACCTATTCACAGTCACTGTCCATTCCTCCCTCCTCCCAACCTCTGGAAACCGCCAATCTGCATTCTGTCTCTATGGATTTACCTATTCTGGTTATTTTCTATAAATGGAATTAAAACCAAAAGAATTTTTAAACCAATGGATTTCACATCAAAATTCAGATTTCCAGCTTCTCTTGAACAAAACCTGGCCAAACCAGGCCCACATCCCCACAGGTAATAGCTGGCTGGAACTGATTACTCATTGCCCTTGCTGACAAACGTGAGTGTACAACTCCACAATCCCATCAGCTCTTTTCTCTTCTGGGTCACTCTCTTGGCTTCTGGAGCATTTGGGTTTCAAGTCCCAGGACTACTGACTTCTCAGATCCCTCTCATTTATAAACATCTGGAAGGTCTCCAGAGGTACTCTAGAGAGCAACTTGGACTGGGAGTAGGAGGAATGAATCCCAACTCTACCACTTACTAGTATGAAACACTTAGCTTCCCTGAGCCTCAGTTTTCTTAACTGTAAAATGGGTATAATAACCTCATAGGGCTGTTATATTAAATGTAAAGCATTGGAAACATAGTCACTCCTATCCCTGTAGGTAACAGAGACTCATAGCAGCTCTCCTTGATTTCAGAAATGGAAAAAGGAGGTTCAGAGAGGTTAAGCAATGTATTTGAAGGCAACACAGCAAACCAGAGACGAAAGCTAACCCCCCTGTTGCCCTGGTGAAGAATGAAAATGCTCTGTACTGAAGGGTGGCAGTTGTAAAAAAGTTTAGGGACTTTGGATGGTGGAGGTGCAGGCTCAGTCGGCAAGGGATCAATGGTTGATCTTGAGTAACTTCACCCTGGGCTTATGCAAGTAATGGAGGAACTGACGTGATAGTAGTTTGACCTGAGAGGAAAGAGAAAACCCCTTTAATGTGCCTGGGCCTTGATGTCATAGCAGCTGGTCAACCTCTACAGCCACTGACCTCCTCTGCCCATTCCCCAGTTAGGGGCCTCCCATTCACTCAACCT